TCTAAATATTATTTTAAGGGTTATTATAAATTATTGCAGGTGTTTTTAATATTATTTTATCATTATATTTTCATTCTATAACACCGAATGAATTGTCATTCCACTTATGTTGAAGGTAGCAACACCTGTTGGAGCAAGTACTAAAACTGATAACTTAGACTCAGTTCCTGCCATCTGACGAAGTAAGCCCCGAATTGTTTTGATGAGATATAATTTGTTCGTCTCAGCTATTTCTAAGATAATTACTTTAAGTACCTCAACTTCATAGCCTACAAGAACACTACGGTGATGTGATTCTATTCGTTTAAATACAACTATCTATTTTTCGTTCAAAGTTTCATAGTCTATATCTAAGTTTTCATCTTCCATCTAATTATTTCTGGAAACTTGTTGTAAGAAAGTATTAACATCTACGAGGTCAGTGTTTAGATAATGTTGTCTGACATCATCAATTTATCTATGATTCCTATCAATATCCTGAGTTTTAAGGTCACAAGAATTATCAATTACTGTATTTGGGCTCATCTCTGCCAATAGCATCCAATCAAATCTAAACTTAATTTCATCATCATCTTTAATTTCTTCTCCCTGATCATCATCATTACCTTCTTCATTTTCTATAGTGAATCTAAGTAAGTCAGCTGGATCCACGCTAATCTCCTCATGATGACGATTATATAGAACTGATCAATCAATTGTACCGTTTTTAGTCAGCTTCTTAATCTTTCTATGTTGAACGTGAAGAAGAACTTTGACTCTACAGAACTTCTTCCATTGAGAGCTATTTCATAGTGGTGATAATCTCAAAAAAATATGTATTATGTTTTCATCTTTACAGTTATTCTATTTAGTCTTGGTAAACTTGTGAGTTAAGTTGAATTTGAATAATGAATAATTTTCAAATTCTTCGGGTCGTTTCCAATATCATTGTAAAGGTAATTTTACTGTTTGCCCAATATCGCCTGTTCTAATATATTCCCTATTTTCTGTATTACCACTATCACGAAGTCATCAGGGTGCTTCTTTATTAAGGTTTAAGGAAATAAAAGAGTGACTTATATGATACAAGAGAATTTTAAGAAGAAGATGGCAGGTCTCCTAAGCAGAAACATCACGTTCTGCAACATTTCGGAATAGCAATTTTTGAACCGAAGTAAATATTGGATCATTAGGATTACTATTTTGAAGAACTTGATTCAATATTTCTGAGAAAGTTGCTAATTGTAGTTCTGCTTTGCTTGCATTATACATGTTCCCAAAATTAATTTTGAATTTTTGAGGTATTTTGACTTTTGAGATTTATGCAGAATCTATTCTATATATGGAAATAAAAAAAGTACCTAGTTATATGTATCTTTAATTAAAGAATAAATCTGAGTAGTCAAAAAATTTTAGATTTTAAGTAAAATAATTTCGTCTTCTATGAAAAACTATTTCAACTTTTTTCTTCAAAATTACAATTTCAGTGCTTCAAAATAATTTTGTGTGCAAGTATAGCTTGCATATTTGGAAATATATTGCAAAGCTGCATGGATTGTAAGAATTGATTTGAGATCGACATTTGCTTGCCATCCCTGTAACTAAAGTCTACTGTGCGAATTAATATATTGATCATTTCTTGTAGTCACAAGTTCAAGCCATCCATATTCGTCATCTTGCACAATAGTATAATTGATATTGTCCTTAGGAAATTTGAATCTGCAGAATTGTTGATCTGACCTGTTGACACGAAGACAGTAAGAGGGACTACATCTGGTATGTTGTTGTAATTTATTAATCAATTTTATGTAATTATCCAAATCATCATCTATCTCTTCGTGACGCTTCTGACATAGATGGCAATTAGGAATAGGTACATCGAGACCTGAGTTAATTGTAGTAATTAAACTATCAAGATATTGCACTACTTCTCCCATTGTGTTTTCATCATTTTCTATTCTTTTCTAATCAATTATAGGTGCATCTATACCTGCCACCCAAATTCAAAATCCAAATGCCGAAATCCCAAATGCCAAAATCCCAAATCCCAAATCCCAAATTATGATTAGTATTTTTTGCCGAAATTCCAAATCCCAAATCCCAAATACTAGTAATTTGGGATTTTGGCGTCCCAAATCCCAAATGATTTGGGATTTGGGCAACACGTATAGGTGCATCTCGCCATTTTTCAATACCATAAATATGAACGTTTTCACGATGTTACTACTCGAATTGGTACCACCAGTCTTCCAGGTCCTATCGTTTTTTCAATACATCATTAAAAAAAAGTTTCAAAATATTTATTAAAGAACCATACAGCGATATGGGATTATTAATCACATTTTGCTGATAATGGCTAGTTGAATTGGCTTCTGTAGAATTTTCACTAGATGGCATAAGTGCGTAAAGTTCGGACCAGTGAAAATCAGCAACACTGAATATAAAAAATATGAGATCTTGCGACCTGATCTGTTTAATCATGTCTGATAGTTCATAACACCTTGTCATCTAAAACTGTCGAGATCCACGCAAGCTTTCACCATATCGCATAATATTGTCAGCAACATGTTTATCACCTTGTTCAATTATATCTGAGAGGTCTTCGGTACTGATCTGATTATTACTTAAGTTCTGTTTAACATATATCTTTCCCTTTTGTAGTGCCCTCCATCGCATTATAAAATTTAAAGCGAAGTATCTCCAGCGTGTGTGACATGCGAACCTCCCATCTTTGTATTGGAGTAGATATTTAAAATATTTGGCTGAATTAATATCTCTGATCCATTCCATTTGGAGATCAGCATATCCTGTTAGGTAAAGGGTTAGGAATGTACGGGCAATATAGCCTGACATTTGGAACTCATTAATAAGGATATTGCTTATATGTGACCAAGCTATAGGGAAATTCATATCTTGTATATGCTTAAGGATTTTATTAATGGTAAATTCTTCATGATAGGCTGATAGAAGACTTGGAACGAAGGTACGCATGATCATGTCATTATCATTTTCATCTTCATCATTTAACTCATTATTATCCATTTGGAAGTTGATTATCTATTGAGCCATCAATAAGTAAAGACTGGAGGATTTCATCATCAATAGTTATTTCAGCGTAATAGTGATTGTTTGTTTTTAGCCAACATAAGGTATGAGCAACTTTATCGTGACAAACATTAAAATCTCTAAATGATATTGACTTTGTGAACTGTCGACGGATAATCAATACATTTATTGATGATGGATGCTGAAGTAATCGTGTGATAAACTCTTACACATCTTGAGGAAAATTTATTACATTTCCGTGATACCCATATTGTCCCCACGAAGTCTATAAGCTGACATTACAGGAAATACTTGGGATATAAGCATTTCTTTGATATCTGTAAGATTACATAATTTATCTAGTACTTTGCCTGAATCCATGTCATTTTCAGCAGAGAACCTTTTAGGTATTATTTTTTCATTATAATAATGTCGACATTCTTCCTTAACAAATACTATTGATGGAAAACTTTTGTTATATACTGGGCAAAGTTTATATTCTAGATAATTCATTTTAATGTGAAATCAGCATAGAGTATCTTGATCTAATTCATTAAGTATAGTTGCATTACTTGGCAGATTAAATGTCGTCACGTTACTTTGAAGTTGAGGCCGATCTGCACTCCGAATATAAGTAGTCACGTCATTTTGATATTGAAGTCTCTATGAGTCAATATTAGGATTTTGTTATTCATCAATAGTATCAATAGTACTTAATGCATTTCTGTTGATTATTCGTCACTGCCTTCTCTTTTCTGTATTTCATCATTTTCTTGTTTTTTTTGTTTACTATTACTGATGGGATACATTCTTTTTACACATTTCTTTTCACGATCCCGGAATAGCTGTGCCTCACGTTGACAAGGAGTTTCACTCTTTCTTCTTTTATGTTTTCTTTGGATATCATGTGAAACACTTTGATTTTTCATTTTTAAACTGGTTTATCAAGAAAGTTAAGTATAACAGAAACATTACTTACAATTAAATGAAATTTATAGTGAATTCTTTACTGATCAACTGATTTCTAAAGCTTAGGTAATGACCAGATTGATTAATTAGGCCGACTACTTGTAATTTCACAACATTTGCCCAAATCTTTTGGCTTTGTCTTTGCCGATCCATTTATCACAAGTTCACAATATGATTGGTTGACCGATATATTGTTGCACAAAATATTTAAGCGAGGCTGAATT